CTTCTTCTTTTTCTTCTCCACCTCTTCCTCCTCCTCCTCCTCCTCCTCCTCCTCCTCCTCCTCCTCCTCGGTGAGCACACCAGAATGGTCGGGGAACCCAAAATGGTCGACTGCCGCCTGTATCGGCGGGATAGAAATATAACTGGGGACTAGCCGTGCAAGGCGGATGGCGGCGGGGGGTTTGGGGGGACCACGCCCCCGTCGGCCGCGGGGGCCCTCCCGCTTGGGGTGAGTGGGGTGTGGGGTGGGAAAGGGTCGAGATGCCCCCCGCTGCCAGGGTTCCCCCCCTGGCTCGGGGTCCCTGGCCTCTCCCTACCTGGCGCCCCTCCCCCCCCCCCTGGGGCACCCCTGTCGGCTGCGGGGGCGCGCGGGCGCGGAGGCGGCACGGCCCCTCCGCCGCGCTGCGCAGGGGCAGGTGGGGCATTGCGTCGTTGAGCCACGCGGCGGACCCCTGCCGGCGGCTTGGCGGCGAGGCCCTTTAGGGTCGCTGCCGCCCGACCCGGGCGGCCCCCAGCCAGGCGAAGCGGCGCCGGCGCGCGGCGCCGGGCGTGGCGCGGGGCTTCCGTGCTATAGGGCATCCCGGCCGCGGGTGGCCATTGGGGGGGGGCCCTGCCGTGGCCATGGCAGGTCCCCTTCGGCATGGCAGAGGCAGGATTGCAGTTATGAGGCGGATCCTTGGGAACTCGTCGTCGTCCTCCTCCTCCTCCTCCTCCTCCTCCTCCTCCTCCTCCTCCTCCTCCTCCTCCTCCTCCTCCTCCTCCTCCTCCTCCTCCTCCCCCTCCTCCTCCTCCTCCTCCTCCTCCTCCGCCCCCCCCGAGCTCTGTGAGTGTCCAGGGGGCCCGCCGAGCCAGCCGCCTCCCGTGCGGCCCAGAGGACCTTTCCACTGCTCCTCTGGTGGCTGGGGGGGAGACCAGGACTCCAAGACGCGGTGTATTCAGGAGGGGAAAAAACACACAGACACAATTTACCGTCGACTCCCCAGAAAATATCGGAAAATATGGGAAGTGGGGGGGGGAAGACAGAAACCCAGAAAATATGGAAAATATGGGGGGATCCTTTTATTTGTGTGTATTGATATGTGTGTCCCAGGGCCCCTTCACTCTTGCCCGCACCCCTTCTCTGCGCCGGACGCGGCCAGGGCGAGCGCGGTGACGAACTCCGTTCCAGAGACGAGCGTCCTCAGTCGAAGAAGAGAAGACGCCATAAGCCATAAACATAACCTTCGGCGCTCCGCGCGGACTTCTCGGATCTGCGCTGGACCCCCGTCCTTGGCGCGCGGAGCGCGCCAGGGGCGGCGCCAGAGGCGCCGCCGTGGGGGCCCAGCGCAGATCCCAGAATTCCGCGCACGCAGCAAGTGTATGTTTAGGGCGTTTCTGTTCTTCTTCTACTCAGGGCGTCCTGGAGCGCTCTGAGAAGGCCGAAGCGCCCGAGACATCCTCCAGCGTCGCCAGAGCCTCCTCCAGAGCACGCAGCAAGTTCATGTTTGTGGCGTTTTGTTGTTATTCCTCTACTCGGAGCGTCCTGGAGCGCTCTGAGAAGGCCGAGGCGCCCGAGGCATCCTCCGGAGCCGCCAGATCTCAGAGAGGGGCGGGCGCGTGCGGGCGCGGCCTGCCGCCGCCCATCCGACGCCCGCGGGCTCGGCCGGGAGGCCCGCCGCCCGCGCCCGCTCCCCCCCTCCTCCTTCTCCTCCTCCTCCCCCCCCCTTCTCCTCCTCCTCCTCCTCCTCCTCCCTCCTCCTCCTCCTCCTCCTCCTCCTCCTCCTCCTCCTCCCCTCCTCCTCCTCCTCCTCCTCCTTCTCCTCCTCCTCCTCCTCCTCCTCCCCCCTCCCCCTCTTTCTCGGACTTGCACGTGCGTGCGCCTTCCGGCATACTCCAGCATACTCACCAGATGCTACCCTTGTGGACGACGAGCAGTCGAGAGGAAGCATGTTGCGAAGTATTTCCCAGATGTCTAAAACATGGTTCAATCATGCCGCACACATGTCATGAAAACATGTTTGTAAGATTTCAAACCATTGGTCGAACATTTTACACACCTTGATGAATCAATGATCGGATTGTCGGGGTGTCCAGCGACATGGCATCCACAAGGCGATCCTCGTCCTGGCCTCGCCTTGCTGCGGCGCACGGTGCCCGGCGGCCCCCACCGGCGTGCCCTTCCCGCCGCGTCGCCGCGCGGAGGCTGCATGGTGGCACGTCTTTCGCTCTCTACCCAGGAGGGGAAAAAATACACAGACACAATTAATCGTCGATCCCCAGGAAATATGAGCAAATATGGGAAGTGAGGGGAAGACAGAAACCCAGAAAAAAAATTGGGAAAGATGGGAAATTCTGCTACTTGTGTGTATTTGTTTGTGTGTCCCAGGGCCCCTTCATCTACTGGGGGTCGGCCTCTCGGGGGTCAGGAGCAGGTCGGCCCAGTTTCTCTCTGAGTTTCCCCATTCGGGATCGCATTTCTATCAAGAGCGATGTCTCCCTTGCTTTTTCCGGGGCAGCTCCGCCGGAAATGCCTGGCCCGAGCCAGCGCTGCTCTCAGAAGACATGTTCTCTTCAGCTTCCCCTTCGCTGACTCTGACCCCGAGCAGTCTGGCCCCCCTGAGCAGGCGAATGTGCACTCCTCGTCGCCGTGCCCCGCTCCACGATCTCATGTTTGTCTCGGGCGGCTTGCGCGCAGCATCGTCTTTGCGATTGTCGCCCACCAAGACAGTGCAGGCCCAGAGGTTGACACCAAGACCAGGATGGGCGGTATGCCTCCACCGAGGGAAGAAGATCCCAATCTCGGTGATGGTGGTAACATTCTGGCTTCCAAGGTGACCGAAATATTACCACCAGCACCGAAATCTAGGATCCACTTCCCCCTGTGGAGGCAACCCCCCTGTTGTGGTGGTGGTGCCCATTTCCAGGCCTCCAAAGACAGAAGCTGCATAGACAGAACGTGTTCCGAGCTCCGCGCGGACCTTTCTTGGACCTGGGCGGGGGCCCCCTTGGCGGCTCCTCCGGCGCTGCCCCTTTGCGCCTTCCGCGCGCAAGGGAGGGGGGGTACGGCGCGGATCCGCAACAGCCGCGCTGACCTCCTAAACTGTATGTCCATCTAGTCCAGTCCAGCCGAGCCTACCCACACAGTCCTGGCCGAACTCACGCAGGATCTGTTCCTCCAGTCCAGTCGTAGCCTACCCACACATGTGCCACCCTTCCTCTTGCTTGGCCCTCTTTCTGCACAGAGGGCGCATGTGGTTCCCTCGGCCCATCGCCCGCTCCCTCCCCTCCTCATTCTCCTCAACCCTCCTCCTTATCCTCCTATTCCCCCTCCTCCTCCTCCTCATCCTCCTCCTCCTCGCAGCTGGCAAGTTCGGCGTCCACAGAGGGAGCACAAGCAAATCCTCCTCCTCTTCCTCCTCCTCCTCCTTCTCCTCCTCCTCCTCGTATCTCCCTGAAGATTCGGGCGTCGCAGACAGTCGCGACGGCTGGTTTATCAATGTTGCGGGCCTCTTGGTGCGATCTCTCATGGTGCCTACATCGCAGAGTGGATTTCGATCGGAAAACAATAGGATGGGCCCAGAGGGTTCCGGGGAATTTCGTTCCGGATTTCGAAGTGAATTTCGTGAGGACTTTTGGCCAGTAAAGAGAATTAGATAACAATCCACGTGAAATTCACATTGTTTTTCGCTCGCCGTTGCGGGGTTTTGAATTGACCGAGATCCCCGAACAAAAACCGCTGCAGCACGTCTGCAAGGTCGGTGCAGTGACTCGGAAGCCGGGCGAGGGCTGGCAAATCCGTGGCTGCTAGACCGGTCTTCCCAGAAGAAGAGGAACACACTCCCGGAAGATAGCTCGGCGCACGGAGTGGAAAGCAGGCGGCCTCCCGGAAGAAAAAAGACAATTCCCCGGAGCTCTGTTTTGGCAGCCGCGCGTTTGCCCGCCTTCGCCTGGCTTCCTAAGCGACATCTCCAGTGGCCGCTCGGACCGTCAAGAACGGCTCAAGCGGGACAGCCCGCCGCCGAGGAGGAGGAGGAGGAGGAGGAGGAGGAGGTCGACTTCTTCGGGGCCCACTCTGCGAAGCAAGAGCGTTGTTGGAGGTGAGGTTTCTCGCGTTTCGGATGTGCTCGCAGACCTATAGAGCGTCGCCACTCCTGGCGCCCCACGGGGGGGGCTCCCAGCGGCGCATCCCCGCCACGCAGAGGCCCACTTGGCGCCCTCGCCGTCCTGGGTGCCTGCCAAGCGTACACAGCCGCCGCCACGCCCCTGCGGCCGTGGAGTGGAGGGTCGCCTGACAGGGCCCAAATTTCGATGCGATCGATCCGACTCGACGTCGTCTTCGGAGGAGGAGGAGGAGGCGGAGGAGGAGGAGGAGGAGGAGGAAGAGGAGGAGGAGGAGGAGGGGGGGGGAGGAGAGGGGAGGAGGAGGGAGGAGGAGGAGGAGGAGGAGGAGGAGGGGAGGAGGAGGAGGATGAGGAGGCGACTCCATCTCGACGTCCCGACGATCCGATGCGGCCCAGCGCTCTTGCCTGGCGCGGTGACGCGCACCCCGGCGGCCAGCCGATCCGATCCGATGTCGACTCCGTTCGGCGTCACCCCAAGATACTTATACGTACCTATACGACCACCCTTCGGGTGATATGGAGGTTCGGGGGGGGGGAGGAACCAACGTCTCTCTCGATCGGTCGCAGTATCGATCTCACCATCGATCTCGCTATCGGTCTCGCTCGATCGATCTCACTCGATAGACCGAGAGACCTTACAGCACCGAGAAACCTTACAGCACATGCGTCGTGGCGGGCGCTTTTTGGCCACGCCGCTCGGGAGACGATATGCTACAAGACGGGTAAGTATACTGTATGTGCGGGTCGGGCGCGCACCTCCGAGGAGGACACACAGTACTAGGATGGCGTTGTGCCTCCTGTCCGTGCCGATGCGGCCCGATCCGACGAGGATCCCTCGACGATGCGATCTCCCGATGCGATGCCGACCGATCCTGCCCGTGGAGTGCGTGACCACCCCCTCCCCGTACAGCGGGTGGAGGCCCGTGCCAAGAAACACCCTGGTTGCCTCCAGGATGCCCTGGATCTCTTGGGTCTCGATGGTTCTGTTTTGGGCAGCGCGACGCTCCCTCACCAAACATCCATGGGCGTTCTGGGGTCTCAAGGTTGGGTTTCTTGTGGGAGGTTTCTTGTGGACTGACCTCCACTCTGTAGGGTCCGATTGTAGCATTTTCGAGGTGCAAAGGAGGCGGTGGAGGATGCCGAGGAGGAGGAGGGGGAGGAGGAGGAGGAGGAGGAGGAGGAGGAGGAGGAGGAGGAGGAGGAGGAGTGGAGGAGGAGGAGGAGGATGGAGGAGGAGGAGGAGGAGGAGGAGGAGGAAGAGAGAGGGGGAGTAGGGAGGATGAGGAGGAGGAGGAGAGGAGGGAGGGAGGAGGAGAGGAGGAGGAGAGGAGGGGAGGGTAAGAGAGGAGGAGGAGGAGGAGGAGGAGGAGGAGGAGGAGGAGGAGGAGAGGAGGAGGAGGAGGAGGAGGAGGAGGAGGAGGAGGGGGGGAGTAGGAGGAGGGTTGGGTTTCTTGTGGAAGGTCTCTAGTGAGCTGGCCCCTGCTGTACGTAGGCAGTCCCACCCACTCCCCTCGCCCTCCCCAGGAAGTGCTGCTGGACCTGCCGTGGTCGCCGATGTGTTTCCCGCGTTCAGCAGTCAGGAGGGAACAACATCGTCGACTCCCAAGAAGGCGTAGGAACACGTGAAAAGTGGGGGGAAGACGAAAACCCGGGACATGTGGGGAGTGCGGCAGCCAGGAGGAGAAAAACACATAGGCACCAGGCATCGTCGACCCCCGGAAAGTATATAGGAACACAATTTGGGGAAGTGGGGGGGGGGGGAAGACGAGAACCCGGAAGATAGATGGGGAAAGATGGGAAATCTTGTGGTTTGCGTGCGTTTGTTTATTTATTTGTGTGTCCTGGGGCCTTTTCAAGTGGCGCGCCCTCTCCCTCCGGCAGACCGTGCTGCTGGGGGGGGTGGGCCCGCCCAGGTGTCTCGACCGCTCCCCTGGGACCGGCTTCTCGGTCTGAGTCCTGCCCTGGCCTCCTTCCCAGATTCGTCCCTCGTGCTCTTTTCCTTTCTCCCATTTTTTCTCATCCATTCCTCCCTCGTTTCTCCCTCTCATCCTTCCTCTTGTCCTTCCTCCCTCCCTTCTCGCTCCCTTCTCCCATCTCGTCCCTCGTACTCGTTCTTCCCGTATTCGTCCCTCGGACGCGTGACCCCGTCCCCTGTCGCGGGCACCCTTCTCTCTCCTCCGCTGCTGCCGAGCCAAGCGAGCTCCTTGCGCAGCGCAGCCGTCCCTGGACAGGAGCTGGTGCTCAAGATCGCCATCCTCGCGGAGAAGAACGCGCCCAACTTCGGTTGGTACGTCGACGTGGTCTTCAAGATGTTAGAGTCGGCCCCGGAGGCAGGAGGGCGACCGATAGGGGCGTTCGGTCGCATCTGATCTGGGGCGGCATGCACCAGGTAGCGAGGAGGGCAAGGAGGGGAGGGGATAAGGAGAGAAGGCCAATACATAGATAGATCGGAAGAGAAGAACATGAGGAGAGAAGAGGGTAAGAAGAGAAGGCCGAGGATATGGAGATAAGGAGAGAAGAGGATGAGGAGTGAAGAGGGTGAGGAGGGTAAGGATAAGGAGAGACGAGGAGGAGAAGGAGAGACGAGGATAATGTACAATAGGTAGCGATGAGCGGCAGCAGACCGAGGACACGGAGAGAAGGAGACGATACGAAGGCTGCGAGACGTGGCGGGCCATCCGGCAGGCCCTTCCGGCTGGTACGGGTCGGAAACCCAGGGTGCCGACGGGGCACTGACAGAGCGCCCCCGCTCGATCCCCCTTCCCTCGCCCCTCCCTCTGCCCTCCGCCCCCATCCCTGGCCCTCGTCCCGCCCTCTCCACCCCCCGCCCTCTCCTCTCCCCCTCCCCTCCCCGCGCGTGCCGCGCGCGGCGGCGGGCTTCTCCTCCGCCAGGAGCCCCGGGGTGGGAGGGCACCCAGGACGACCGCCATAGGACCAGGGCGCGAGAGCGATAGAGGGCCCCACCGAGCCGCCCGGCGGGGAAGCGAGGAGATGGCGGCTAGCCTCCCGGGCCGGCTCGCGTGCCCCGACGGCGGCCCCTCTCTGGTTTGGTTTTTTTTGTTGTGCGCGCGGGCGGCCAAGCCGCCACGGAGCTCGGCCTCTCCTTCGCCCCCCTTCGCCCAGGAGGAGGAGGTGGAGGAGGAGGCGGAGGAGGAAGAGGACCTCCTCCCCGTCCTCCTTCTCCCCTCTGACCCGGGTCTGGACCGACCCGGGTCAGAGGGGCGCGGGGAGGCGCGTGGTGGGGGGGAGGGGGGGGGATCCAGCACCACCTTCCTCCTCCTCCTTCCTCTTCCTCCTCCTCCTCCTCCTCCTCCTCCTCCTCCTCCTCCTCCTCCTCCTCCTCCTCCTCCTCCTCCTCCTCGCGTGGGGGAGGGGGGGGAGGCTGCCGTGCAGCGTGTGCGCACGAGGAGCTTGCTCGGGAGGCGCGCGCGGAGGGCTGCCTGCCGCCTTCCCCGAGGCGCGAGGCGCCCCTCGCCGCCGCCCTGCGTTCGGGCGAGGGCGGGCGCCCGGGGGGGGGGGCGCGCCTGCGGGCCGCGTCCTCCCTGGTTGGCCAGCGCCGTCTGCAGGCTGCTCGCTCGGTGCGCTCGAAGGAGCAGCGGTCGGAGGTGGGATGCTCAAGCATCGCCTCGTCCTCCTTCGCATTCTCAGCCTCCTCCCGCTTCGACGCTTCGTTCCCCCCCCCCTCTCATCTCCTCGTCTCCTCCTCCCCCGTTGTTTCCCCCATTCCTTTTCCTTCCTCCCTTTCCGTCTTCCTCCCTCCTCCCCCCCCTCCCCCCTTCCCCCCCCTCTCCCCTCTCCCTCCCCCTTCCCTCCACTCCCCCTCCCCTTCCCTCTCCCTCTCCCTCCCCTTCCCTCTCCCCCTGCGCCCCCCCTCTCCCTCCCCCCCCCACCTCCCTCCCCCTGTTCCACCACCTCGCCGCCCTCCCTCCCTCCCCTCCGCCCCTCTTCCCTCCCCACTCTCCCCCCGCCCCCCCCCCCCCCCCCCCCCCCCCCCCCCCACAGCCCCCGACACCCTCTGCTCCCCTCGCCTCGCCCCCACCCCCACCCACCCACCCCTGCCGGGGGGCAGCCGCAGGCCGTCGGCGACGACGTCTGGTTCCGCGTCGTGCAGGTGCCGCCCAAGGGGCTTGGCATCGCTCGGACGTGTGCGTTTTTTTCCTCGGCGGGGACCATCGAGGAGCATCCTTGATCAATTGGCGAAAAAACCACACACGAAACCGAAAAAACACAGGGAATGGCCGTCCGAGCGATGGCCAGGGGGGGCGGGGCTGGGAGGGCAGGGGCGGCAGAGCTCCAGGGGGGCAGCACGCGGCATGGGGACGGCGCCCCCACGGGGGCCGGCCAGTCCCGGAGGGGGCCAGGGCAGGAGGGGGCCAGGGCAGGAGGGGGCCTGGGAGGCTCGGCTGGGGTATCGACTACAACAGTGATATTTGCCCCAGAATCGATTCGCTCGTCGAGTCCCTACGAAAATACGTAAACCAACCCGTATATATCTACGAACCTTCTGCGCACATCTCTCGAACAAATCGACGCGAAAGTCAAGGCTGGGGTAAGTCGGAGCGTGAATTACCTACCCCGCTTTCGCTTCCAGGCAAAACCAAGCCATACCACGCGCCTCCTCGTCGAGCGGCCTGACCAGCACAGGCCGTCGTCTGGCACCGCTTGGTCCCTCTTGGAAGCGAGGGTGGTCAAAAGCGAGACAGGTCCGTTTGCCCCCTAGTAAGTCTTGGTAGTCCCCAAACGTGGTGGTGACAACACCTGGCGGTGAGTCTCGGGCGATTTGGTGTCACCACCCGGTTTGGGAACTCGTGCGGTTTTCCCAGGATGTCCCAGACACTGGTGGGTCCAGGAGTCACAAAACCCGGTGGTGACCCCGCGTCCCCAAACCCAGCGGTGACCTTTTTGGGGATTCCAGGTCGCCACCTGGTATCTCACCACCCGGTTTGGGGGTTCCCAAAAGTCAATTCTGTATGGTCAGTCCCTTAACCTCGAAAGGTCGCGCCGCAGTCCGGAGCCCGGCCGCCTCCCGACTCGGGGCGAGGCGCGGCGCGATCTGGAGTGCGAGGCTCTCCAATTCGGGCGCGCATCGACGAGAGGAAACACAGCCCACGCCCTATGCCGCTTGGCATCGCTCGGGCGTGTGCATTTTTCTCCTGCGGCGAGGACCGTCGAGGAGCATCCTCGATAACTTGGCGAAAAGACCACGCACGAAACCGGAGCGGGTCGAGAGCGAGCCTCTTTCGACAGAAGCTAAGCGCCTTTGACGGGAGGAAACACAGCCCACGCCCGTACCGCTCGGCATCGCTCGGGCGTGTGCATTTTTCTCCTGCGGCGAGGACCATCGAGGAGCATCCTCGATCATGTGGCGAAAAAGACCACGCACGCAACAGAAAAAAAACACAGGGGATGGACGTCCGAGCGATGGCGAGACCGAGCGAGAGCGAGCCTCTTCCGAGAGAAGCTAAGCGGGCCGCGCACAGCTTTCATTACAGAGGGGGGGCAAAAGGAGGCGGGGCCTCACGTCAAGGCCGAGAGAAGGCAAGGCCCTGGGTACGCCTTGGACGAGAGAAAGCACAGCCCACCCCCTATACCGGCCATGATGTGGTTTTGAGATGTGTTGTCCGGAATGCGCGTGGACTTGGTCGACACGCCGCCACGGCGACGATTGCGAATCGCGTCGTTTCGGTTTTACAAGTCGTTCTATATCAGGAGGGAAAAGGGCACAAAGACACCATCAATCGTCGATTCCCGAGAAAATATGGGAAACTATGGGAAGTGTGGGGGAAGGCAAGAACCCAGAACATATAGGAACATCTGGGGGGATCATGTCATTTGTGTCTATTAATGTATGTGTCCCAGGCCCCTTTATTGTAACCCCTTCCCCGCTTTAATACAACAGTTCTTGCGTGTTTGATCAGCGCGCTTCTGCGTTCATGAAACTGCGCCGTTGCAGGTGTGCGATGGCGCGATTCGAGCCATGTCCCCGGCTATTTCGTGCGCGGCAGACTGGCAAATCAAGCACGTGTTTGGCTTCATGCCTATGTTTGTTTCGCCCCGGCCCTCTCGGCGGTTGCACGCCCTGCAAGTTGCCGGCGGCCTCCTCTTGGGGCACAGGCAGCTGACGACGGCCGTCGGGCCGCAGGCTCTGGAGAGAGAGAGGGCTCCCACATGTGAAGACGTCATGCGGTGGGTGTGGATCAGGAGGGAAAGAAACACACAGGCACAATTCATCGGCGATTCCCCAGAACATCTGGGAACACATGGGAAGTGGGGGGGAAGACAAACACCCCAGAACATGCAGGAAAATATTGGGGATTCCTGTTAGTGGTGTGTGTGTGTGTGTCTTCATTTGTGTGTCCCAGGGCCCCTTCAACGAAAACGTCATGTGGTGGGCGTGGGGGGCGCGGGGGGTGGCCCGGGCCGCCCTCACACGCCGCGCGATCGTCCGACCCCGTCGGATCTGGCCCCCGCGCGGGAGGCCGCCATGGAGGGCCTCGTGCCGTCCCGCGCTTCCCCCCCGCGTCCACCGCTGGGCACTAGGGGCACGAAGAATGACATGAGCATACAAAGGGCGAAGGCCCAGGGATGTGTGTGTGCGTGTGGATCATCATGGCGGGGGCCATGATATCTCTCCAGATGTCATGGCGCCCCTTCTCATTCCAGTAAAATTAGGTCCCTGGCCCCCAAAATGGGCCTCGCACGTGCCGCTGGCAATGACTTGTGCCCCCTCCTCTTGAACGCCCCCGAATCTGCCAACCGTGCCCTGAGCGACCCAGGAATAAGAATGCCGCGCAGACGCTTCTCGTGCTGAAGCAGGGGGTGGGACCATCCAGCGAGGATGAGTCTGGTGGGAGTTCGCTACGTTCAGAGCCTCTAGATGCTCCACCTCCACCGCCTCGCCCCTGAGCGTCCGCTGCGCGCGTAACCCATATTCCCCACGGTGCTTGCACCCGGGACTACTTGTTCGGCCCAGGAATTGGGTGGGTAAAACCCGAGGAGTGTTCGCTGGCCGGCCGCCCCGCGGCCGCCCGAAGGTCCCCCCCTTTGCCGCCCCTGGCCGCCCAGCGCGGTTTGCATCACGTACCCTGCACCACACAGCCTGCACCACGGAGCTCGCCCGGGTGCTCACCCTTGTGGGGCCTTGGCCCTGGCTATCACTTCGGTTCCCCCTATGTGCGATCATTCCCCTCAGCGCGATCATTCCCCTCAGCTCTCCTCCTTCTCCTCCCAAAAGAGCGCTTGCAAAAAAAAACTTCGGTTCCCCCAGGGGTTTGGAGGGGGGATGGCCGGGTGTCGCGCCGCGTCGCCGCCCTCGCCGCGGCGCGGGCGCCGCGCGGGCGCCCCGTGCTCCTGCGTGGGGATGCCTCGCGGCGCGCGCCGCGCTGCCGCCCCGCGGGCGCCTCGCGGGCGCGCCCCGCGCGGGCGCGCATTGGGCGGGCGCCTCGTCGGCCGCCCCCGCGCGCTCGGAGCTTCCTGCCGCGCCAGCGCGTGCACCGCGCGGCCTGCAGGCAGCACGTCCCGGGAGCTTGGGCTTGCTTTCTTGGTGCCGTCGTCGATTGGACGTAAGAGTGACCTTTCGCCGGAGTGACCTTTGGTGCGGGCCCACTGGGGCCCCCCGTTCGCCGAGCGCGGTGCGACAGTAGCGTATTTCGCGATTGGATTTGGCCCTGCCGCGGCCCCCCAAAAGCCGCGCACCAAAGGTCACTCTTACCCAGGGTCACTCTTGCGTGTAGCTGACGTCGGTTGGTGTCGACGAGCGTCTGGGCGTCGCTGCGGCAGCGCCGAGGTCGCGTGGATTCAGTGTCGGTCAGCGCCGATGTGGCGTCGGCTGGAATCGACCAGCGTCGATGTAGCGTCGATGAGCGTCGCTTCGCGAGAGCCGGCAAGATGGCATGGGAGGCTCCCGTGAGTTCCCACCGAACAGTTTTCCCCATAGTTTACACCACACAAAGCTTACATTCAACCCGCATAGTAAGGACGGGCAACCTCTCCAGGGGTGCCCTTGCATCCTTGCCCCTTCGGCCCCTCCTTGGCCACGTTCGTTGGCCGCGCCCCGCTCGAGAAACTTCGAAATGGTCGTTCAGGACCCTTGCATCTCTCTCGCGCACCCCTCATGAGACGGACCGAGTGTACATCACATAGCTTACACCCCATAGCTTCCTCCCCAGGTCGCACCGCCGAGCTTACGCGACACAGCTTCCACCGCATAGCGTGCACCGCACGGCTGTTCACCTCCGTAGCTCGCACCAGATGGCTCACGCGACATAATTTTCACCACGCAGTGCTCGCCTCCACAAGGCAGTAACGCACTGTGTGTGTGTGTGTGCGTGTGTGTGTGTGGTGTGTGTGTGGGGGTCACGCTGGCCAACAACATTTCCCTGTTCGTTGTATGTTTGTTGAA